GGGGGAGCAGGGGGCTCGGGGGCTGGGAACTCACACCACCCCCTTGGCGTCCCCGTCCCCACTTGCAGAAACGTAAGAGCATGACCAAGCTGCGCGGCCCAAACCCCAAGTCCAGCCGGACCACCCTGCAGTCCAAGTCGGTAGGGAGCCCTCTCAGGTGCCGGTGGGGGGTGCCCGGGGCGGCTGGAAAGAGACCCCTGATTTGCCTCCGTCCCCTCCAGGAGTCCGAGGAGGAGGATGAGGAGGACGAGGACGACGAGGATGAGGACGAAGAGGAGGAGGAGGATGAGAACGGGGACTCCTCCGAGGACGGCGGGGACTCCTCCGAGTCGAGCAGCGAGGACGAGAGCGAGGACGGGGACGAGGTGGGGCCGGTGGCGGTGGGGGAGGGGTCTGGTCCCTCCTGCGAAGAAGCCGCCCAGTGACCGGCCGCCTGTCCTTCCTCGCCCCAGAACGAAGAGGAGGACGAGGACGAGGACGACGACGAGGACGACGACGAGGACGAGGACAACGAGTCCGAGGGCAGCAGCTCCAGCTCCTCCTCCTCGGGGGACTCCTCAGACTCTGACTCCAACTGAGACCGGGCCCGTGGGCGGCCAGGGCGAGCCCAGCGCCCCCTCCCCAGCCGACCACCTCTGTTCCTCCCCGTGTTCTGTCCCCTGCCCCGGCCTTCCCCCACTTTCTTTCTTTCTTTCTTTTTTTTAAGCAAAACATGGTGGGGGCAGGGGGCTGGAGGAGCCCAGGCCAGGACTCTGCGGCCTCAGAGACACCAGCCCAGGGGGGTCCTCCAGGGAGAACAACCATCAGACTTAGCCAGCGCCGGGCGGGCCGGCCCACCCCACCCACCCACTTCTGCACTTGCCGTTCCTGCACGGACAATGGACCGGGGCCTGGGGGTGGCCCGAGGAGGTCACGGAGGCCCCCCATGCCTCCAGCCCAACCCGAAGTGGGGGAGAAGCCTGGGGAGGACCCCTTCCTTCCCAGAGGGGCCCGCCGCCCGGACCCCTGCATTGGAACCAGAGGCAGGGGCCCCATGGGGGGAGGAGGGCAGGTGCCTTCCAGGAGACGGGCATCACCCCTGCGGCCCTCTGCCTGCCCCGCAGGGGGGAGCCTGGACCCGCTCGCGGGGGAAGGGCAGAAGTGTTTTTTATATATGTGTATATATTTTTTTTTTAAGCTCTGAGCTGTCAACGAGACGTTTCCTACCGATCTCGGCTGCCGTCTCTGTTGTCATTTCTGGGAGAGGGTGGGCTTAGGGGGTAGCTTTGGGACTTTTTAAAAACATCTTGATGCGCATGGGGGGAAGAGTGTGAGTGTGTGTGTGTGCGCGTGTGCGTGTGTGTGTGTGTGTGTGTGTGTGTGTGTCCTGTACATAGTGTGGGTGTGCTGTGTGTGCATGGAAAGGGGTCTGTCCTGGAGCCACTCTGGAAGAATCTGGAAGAAGGGTGTGGCTGGGGGCTACTGACCCTGGGGAGCAGGCCAAGGCTGCCCCACCCTCCGTGTCCTCCGCTTGCCCAGTCTAGGGCTGTGCTGAAGCCACTCGGCCTCCTAGACCCGGTTCCCCACTGCCAGGGTCACGTGTGTCCGAGCTGCTGCTGGTCTCTGTGTCCAGCAGGAACAGGGGAGGATGGCGTGAACCTTAAAGCTTGTATTCAGTGGAGAAGGCCTCCCAGCGCCTGGCCACCCTGGGTTGGGAGCTCTTAACTTGTATCCTTCCCGCCCCTCCCAGCACTCCCCGTTTCCTTTGATTTCTCAGGTCTGCTCCCTCCTCCCCGACCCCACAGCTGGGTGCAAGAAGTCACAAAAGCTGCTGCTGCAGCTGTTGGGCCCCTCCCAGCCATCCCTAGTTTTTGGGACCCTGATTCCTGGACTCATAATGAGCCAAGTCACCTTATCTCGGCAGATCTCCTCTTGTGTTGACTAAATTTGGGGATGCTTCTGTGTTCTTCAGAGTCGTGGCAATGACCTGTTTAACTGGGACTCTGCCTTCCCCCTCCGACTGAATGCCAAGGAGTGGGGGCAGAGGGAACTCTGCCCTGTAAGAGAGGCGCGGGAAGGTGGGGCCCCTCCCCAAAAGAAGGCACACAGCCTCTGCTTGGCCTTGGACCTTGGCGCTGGGCTGGGAAGGCCCAGGGGGGCGATCCTGCTCCCACCCCTCTCCCTGACCCCGGGATTAGGTCAGGGTTTGGGGGTTCTATCTCCTGCGAACCCCTGCAAGGAGCCCCTTTCTCTTGTTTGGCTGCCCCTGCACTGTTGTTTTGGTGGAATGTGTTTTCATTTCAAAACAACTTTGAATGGGGCACGCGTTTTTCCTGTTTTAAAAACTGAAAAATTCTTACAGTACGGACAGAGCTGTGGGGGTGGAGGCGCTGGTGCTGTGAGAGGTCACTGAGTGCTTTTTGGCACTGGGATGGGACGGCTGGGGTGGGAGGGCCCCGTTCCCCCTCCCCTCTTTTTTTCTAATATTTAAGCAGTGTTTTGTAGGTTTCAACAACCACCACAACTTGAATTTGTACCATGGGAGGTGGGAGGGGGTGGCTTAGAGGTGTTGGCCTCCGCTCAGGCCAACTGTGGAAGTTTTGTTTTCCCTTTTTTGTACAATAAAGTGAAAAACAGAGGTCTGACTGCTGTCTGTTCACTGGAGTCCATGAAGGTGAGGGGCAGGGGTGATCAGGCAGGTTAGGCCCGGACAGGCCCTTGAAGCCAGCTTGTTCACCCTTTCCTTCCAGAATGATCTTTCTCTTGCCTAAAGACTCCATAAGCAACCTGCCTCCCCCTTATTCCGGCTTCTGTTCCTGCACCTTCTCAATTCAGTTCACCGTGGGCTGTCTGACCACCACAGACTCTGAAAAGTTTCAGGGCCGAGCGCAGTGGTTCATGCCTATAATCCAGCACTTTGGGAGGTCCAGGTGAGAGGACTGCTTGAGTCTAGGAGTTTGAGACCAGCCTGAGCACCAAAGCAGAACCCCCATCTCTACCAAAAAAATTAGCTGTGCGTAGTGGCAGGTGCCTGTAGCCTTAGCCACTCAGGAGGCTGAGGGAGTAGGATCTTCTGAACCCAGGAGGTTGAGTCTGCGGTGAGCCATGACCATGCCACTGCACTCAGAGTGAAACCTTGGCTCAAAAAAAACAAAAGTTGGAGAACAAATGCATTTTCACTTGAGAAACGAGGCGATGAGCAATTGGGGTCGAGAGTTCACCCAGGGCTTCTCATGGGGAGCTGGGGGAACCTCCCACTGAAGGCCCTCAGCTCCACCCAGGGGTCGGGATGACTTCTGACCCCATCCAGGCCTCTGATGGGAAGCGGGCTGGGCCAGATGACTCGCTCCCTGCAGTTAGGGAAGAAGAGGCCTTCCGGGCACAGGCCTCGCTGGGTTCCTGGAACTGCAAGGTTGAGAACCCAGGCCCTGTCCAGGAGCTCGCTCCTATTCCTGGCTAACCTAAAAAGCCTGGGACCCGACGTGGTGGCTCACACCTGTAATTCCAGCACGTTGGGAGGCCGAAGCGAGAGGACTGCTTGAGTCCAGGAGTTCAGGACCAGCCTAAGCAACATAATGAGACCTTGTCTCTACAGAAAATGAAAATACTAGCCAGACTTGGGGGCATGTGCCAGTAGTCCCAGCTGCTCGGGAGGCTGAGGTGGAAGGATCGCCTAAGCCTGGGAGGTGGAGGATGTGGTAAGAGCCGCAATTGGGCCACTGCACTCCAGCCTGGGTGACAGAGTGAGACCCCAACTCTAAATAATTAAATAAAAATACAAAGCTCTTTGCCCTCGTGGTCTCCCCCCCGCCGCCCACTTGCCACTCCTGAGGTGCCTCTCCAGGCCACCTGCGGTTCACACTGCAGCCAGTGGACGCTCACCTGTCTCTTCCCTTCTCGGCCTGCCCTGCCAGTGTCAGCGCTTCCTCCTCACTTTATCCTGGGTGTTCACGTCTCTCCCGATGCCCCCGTTATCCTGCACACACAGCCACGCCAAGAGGCGGTTTCTCCCGACTGTTCTTCCACGCTGTGGGCTCGTGTAGATGCCGCTGCCCCTTCTGGGATACCTTGCGGGCATCTCACAGCTCCTGACGCAAAGTGACCACCGACAGCTTAGTCATTCAGCTGCAACCCCAGGGTGGTGGCCCTGACTACTCTCCATCCATGTTTAATCGCCTGCCTAGACCCGTCCACACTGCTTCCTGAACCTCACATCTGTCTGTTCTTTCCCACAGCTGCCCCCATCCTATTCAAGGGTACCACCGTTGCCAGCTTCTGCCAAGACCTCCCAACTGGTCTTCTGCTTACACCCTGCCCCCTACAGTCCACTCTTCACAGGGCAAATGAAACTGTCTCAAATCCAACACCCTCTGTACTTAAGATTTTTTTTTTTTGAGTTGGAGTCTCACTCCGTCACCCAGACTGGAGTGCAGTGACTGCTCCTGGCCACCGCAGCCTCGACCTGCTGGGCTCCGGCGATCCTTCCGCCTCAGTCTTCCGAGTAGCTGGAATTACAGGCACGCACTACCACGCCCGGCTGACTTTCTGATTTGTTGCAGAGATGAGGTCTTGCCAAGTTGGCCAGGTGGGTCTCAAACCCACTCACTTCAGCCTCCCAAAGGCGTGGGATTACAGGCTGAGCCACCGAGCCCGGCCAGATTTTTTTTTTTTCCGTCGGAGTCTCCCTCTGTCGCCCAGGCTGGAGTGCAGTGGCACACTCAGCCACCACAGCCTCGACCTGCTGGGCTCAGGCATTCCTTCCGCCTCAGCCTTCCAAGTAGCTGGAACCACAGGCACATGCCACCAGGCCCAGAGAATTTTTTTTCTTTTTATTGTAGAGATGAGGTCTTGCCATGTTGCCCAAGCTGGTCTCGAACGCGTGGGCTCAGGCAATCCTCTTGCCTCCACTTCCCAAAGTGCTGGGATGACAGGGGTGAGTCACTGTGCCGGACTTGTACTTTGGATTTACTGTCTTACCGACGCCCCGGCATCCCTTCCCATGCCTTCTTTCACCCTCTTCTTCCTGACTGCTCACAGTGAGCTCCTTCTGTTCCTCAAACATGCCTACCACAGGGCCTTTGCACTGTTCTCTGTCCAGAATTGCTGTTCCTCCAACTCTACACATTCTTGGATTTCTTATCCTTCAGGCCTCCACTCCAATGTCACCTCACAGACAGGCCTTTCCCAGTCACACTCCGTCTTCTGGTTTATGTATTTGTTTTGTTTATTGGGTAGCTCTCCACGTGGACGACATCTTGCCTGCTTGTCTATTATGGTAATCCCAGCACATGAAACTTCCTGGTATACGTTCGACGCCCAAGAAACATTTCTGTGGCTCCATCCTGATTTAAGGTGTCTTCCTGGCTCCCCATCCTGGTTGAAGGTGTCTTCAGGGCCTCCCGTTCCTTTACCCCAGACAGCTCAATCAATAACGAAAACCTACTACCTTTAGATTATTCTCTGGACTCCTCACTCGAGAGTGATCTACTGAAAATGTAAGTCTGGTCAAATGATTCCTTGGAGGACCTCTCACAGCCTAAAGGGCTGAGGCCCAAAAGCTTGTGAGCACACACTTGGGCAACATAGAAAGACCCTGTCTCTACAAAAAAGGAAAAAGGAGGCCGAGTACAGTGGCTCACACCTGTAATCCCAGCACTTTGGGAGGTGGAGGCGAGAGGACTGCCTGAGCCCACGGGTTCGAGACCAGCCTGGTCAACTTGGCGAGACTTCGTCTCTACAATAGCTTTAAAAAATTAGCCATGTGTGATGGTGCATGCCTGTGGATCCAGTTACTTGGAGGCTGAGGTGGAAGGGTCACCTGAGCCGCTCCGACCTAGGTGACAGAGTGAGACTTCAACTAAAAAAAAACAAAAATAGGCCAGGCACATTGGCTCAGCCCAGCAGTTTAGGAGGCCGACGGGTTCAAGACCAGCCAGAGCAACTTGGTGAGACCTTGTCTCTACAATACATCACAAAAATGTAGCCGGGCGTGGTGATATGTGTCTGTAGTCCCAGTTACTTGGAAGGCTGAGGCAGAAGGATTACCTAAGCCCAGCAGATCGAGGCTACATTGGCTGTGAGCGTGCCACTGCACTCCAGCCTGGATGACAAGAGTTAGACTCCAACTCAAAAAAAAAAAGGAAAAATTAGCTTGGGTGTGTTGACACGTTTCTGTAGTCTCAGCTATTCTCAGGAGGTTGAGGCAGGAGGAACTCCTGGCTTTAGGGGATT